CTTAGAAAATTTTTCAGAATTAACAGGGTAAAATAAATATCTGTGACAAGCCCAGGTACAAAAGATTTTGACAAGTACCTGATATCCCATTTGAAAATTAAAATTTATTGTATTACCAAATGATTTAAACAGTTCTGGTTTTGCTAGAGGAAGCTGAATCATTTCCCTCAAAATTTTAATCTGAGATTTCAGTCCTCCTATCCAATCAAATGTCACTTTGTCTTTTATATCTTTTTCTTCAATCTGTTCATCTTGTAAAATCATCAGTCTTGTTTGTGAGGCTATTTTTGCAAACTGTTCATCCATCTTTAAATTCTGTTTGCCAGGAGGCTCTGGAGTTTTAAACATGTCTATATTCCTTTGTTTAGATTTTGGAGTACTTGATATTGGCGAAGAATCATTAAAACTTTGATTTTCAGATGATAAAGATCTGTCAGAGCTTGAAGGTGTACAAGGTGATTTTAATGATGTGTCACATGACATGTCAGACATATTTATTCTGGAAAGGTCATGTGATATTTCATCAACATTTGATTGGTTCAGATTTTGAGTTCTTTGTATGGTTAGATCTGTCACTACAAACTGATACATTTGTCCATAATAACTAATGTTTATTCTATTTCCTATTTTGAAACACTTTCCATCTGTAAAAAACGAATAGCATGTAGATAGGTCAGAAGACACAAGCAGACAATTAAGCTACAAATATTGTATAGTTTTATTTCTTAAGTTGCAATGAAAAACCGATAATTGAAAGGTGTGGTCAAGACATTGTTGATGAATTTGTATAAAAAGTAATGAAAATGTTTAAAAAAGATATAGGTCAATGCATTTTGTACTTAATTCAAATTAAAAAAAAGTTCTTGGTCATGTTATTAAGAGAATAATTATTTAAGAATATAAATAGTGAAAAATATTCAACTCAAGACCAAACAACACTGACGAATAACTAATGAGCTGCGTATTCAGAATTAATGTGTTCACTCGTTGAACAATTTGGTTACTCGTTGAAAATTTTTCTATACTTGCAATATCGTACAATTATTTTGCTGTCACAGGAGATAATAACATCCTGTTTTCACAGCCTTTTTCATCATGAATAATACATCATTATGTGTGATACTGACACTAAATGGTAAATACTCACATAGCTTATTTCTGACAAAATCTTGAAAGCAACTTTCCTCTGGCGGAAACCCATCAGTGCTGTATTGAAATGTACAAACTGATTGAATAATTAATCAATTAATACTAAATACACAAAATGATCAACTATTTGGTTTGCATCTTATATCAATACTATACTTCACTAGCTTATTCAATGTCCTAAATCTGCAGGCAGATCATTTGTTTATATATTCAGTTAATATAGACACATTATTAACAGTAATGGTGGCATGCATGGCACCATTTTCGAAGGAGCATTAGAGGTGTCTCATTCTAAATTCCTAAGTAATTAATGACAAAATTAAAAATTCCAGTGAAAAATTCAATCAACTTTAAATGTCAAAGAAATTGGAACCAAATATTATCTTAAATAATCTAAATATATACATACTTTTTTTTATAATAAACAAACTTAAATGTTTTTAGAGGGTGGGTAAAGGCAAATTTTGGGAAATGATAAATGACTATGCATATGATAAACAATTTATGACCCATATATAATTGCCATGGTAAAGTCTTTACCATTTAATGTTGAACACTATCAAAAGACAAAAATTCAAGATTTATTAAACTTGCTTATTGTTGCAATCAATGGGAGATAACTCTGAATAATTGCAGAAGAATTTTATTCCACACATGATTAAATTAAAAAAATATATTGATACTGACTTTTCACAAAGAATAATGTTGATAATACATGATTCAATTTCAAAATGTCTCCCTGTTATAGTGTACATGTATAATCACTTAAATAAACTCTAAGAAATAGTAAATCACTCTGTTCAACTGTTAATCACTTAACATGCTTAAGACAACAAATAAACATAATGTTCATTTCTTACAAAATAAATTTTCTGGTGTACAGGTTACATTGGTTAATTGTTTGTGTCTTACAAAATAAATTTTCTGGCGTACACGTTACATTTGTTAATTGTTCATTTCTTACAATATAAGTTTTCTAGTGTATACTACAAATGTATAGGAAACATTTGTTAATTGTTAATGTGTTAGTACTCTTACAAAATTAATTTTCTGGTGAACAGGTAACAATTGTTAATTGTTCATGTCTTACAAAATAAATGTTACCTCTGCTTCAAGCATATCTCTGAAGCTGTAGGTAGTCCGTAATTTAATGGCTCTACTGTTATTTTTCCACCAGATTCTTTCTCCAGCAACTTCATTAAATCATCTGGCACCCCTACTGATGTCTGGGCCATGGAAGTTGAAGGCCAGGCTACACTGACATAATGACTGTCCAATAAGCATGGTCGTCCAATGGCAAGCCCACTATATTTCATTGTACTGGGATGAACAACAGTAACATTGTCACTTAAATCATGAGGTAAACCAAGCTTCCCAACTGAAACAAAGCAAACAAATTTCTGTAAATCCTGTTAATCATGTTAATATTGATCATGTTGAAGATAAAAAAATGAATATGAATCTTTTTAACTCATCATAGATACAAGGCTTAAATGTTGTACACCAGACACACGTTTTGTCTACAGAAGACTCATCAGTGACACTCAAATAAAAAAAGTTAAGGATTGACTGTTTTAAAAAAGAATAGAAAAAGGAAAAGAAATAAAAGTTAAAACGTTTTGACATTCAAGTACAATGTATATCAAGTATGCTATATATGATGGCAGTAATCTCCCCAGGCTGTTTAACGTTGCAGTGCATTATTTAGCACCTAAAGCATTTCAATGCTGTGCTATAGAACTTACAGCAGTGCTATCCAATTAAATCAATGATAATTGCTCATGAAATCATTTCCAAGCTTTTTTACCCTTTCACTGACCACAACTTTGTGTTCCACTTTTGATGCCTCTACGATTATTTTATTATTTTTAGTGTTTTCAAGTAAACTGTTGAATCTTCATTGCTTCAGAAATGCATTCAATTTGTCCAGGCCAGGGAGTCATAAGTAGCCTGTCTTTGACAATAACTTTGCATCGCTTATCATGGTTCATTGTCAGTTTAGAGGAGACAATAGACACATTCAATAAATGCACACTTTATAAACCTTCAAATTCTTGGTAAGCTAAATTGAAGCATGCTATAACTAAATGTGTAAATAATTACAAAAACTTTTAATCATCTGTCATCATGGTCATTTATGAAACAAGGAATATTTTTTTTTTTCAAGCAGATCTAATACCATGTTTACTTTGAATCTAATCCAATTTGCTCAATTTTACATTTAATTTGAAATTTATTTAATAGTTGAACTGCTTAATTTAAAAAAAAAAAAATCCAACAAAACTGTCATGGACACTTATGATTTTCATTTTATTGTCTGATAGTTGTCTTTTTTCAAGTGTTTGTGTGCTAGAAAGTAATGAAAAAAGGAATACCTTGCAGGTTCTAAGCAAATTCAGCATTCAAACTCAAGATTTGATATCCCACATGTTATCCCTACACTCCTCCCCAATGATAATTAAGTGTTGATCTACTGTCATAGAAATAAAAACCTCTCCTTGTCCAAGTATTTAATTTAATCCTTTACATACATGTAAGAGCAAAACATTTAAAGACAATTTTGAATACTTGGGAAAATGATATAAAATTGACTTGTATGCTGACTTGTTGATGTTATTTGCTTTGTGTTGTTGGGTATTTGGTTCATTATAGTATACCTAGTACTTCCATTATTCATACTTTTAAAAGAGAAGTGCATGTTTATCTAGCTGCAGAACCATAGCTCTTATGATCCAGTGTCATATTTTTTTGACAATGTGCAGACCATCTTTGGCCATCATTGGTCTGCACAAATCAGAAAATATCCTAAGGACCATTAGTTTATAGAGTTAGTTTCACAGCTAATGTTTATTATACAGTACACACCAGGTGATCCAGTCAAAAATTTCCCTTTCTGGTGTCCATTCACAATGAAACAGGGTTATATTGGTGATTGGACTTGAAATCACTTGTATTTATGACCCTGTAATATATTACCTACATAGAATACACAGAAAGATATTTTAGATTTACTCATCCACAATCATTAGCATTCATTGAGAACATTCACCCTGAATGTACTGTATATGAATAAAAAGAATTAAGGGCTAGATGTAAATGAGGCAGCAATTCCAATGACACAAGTTAGCTACAAAGAACTTTTAGGGCTTATAATGAGTTCAGCTTTGGACACAATAAATAAAAGCCCCCTAAAATACTAATTACTTTCCGTATTGTGAGTCCTGGGCGATTTTCGGATTTGGTTGCCCATAAATGAGTCGTTCCAGATTCAGAATCACAAAAAGGATTACCCTAAGTTACGGGCCCTAAAATCATTTTATTTAAAAATAAAAGAATATTTTCCATGTATATGTGAAGCCCTAGATGCTTATTTTCAATGGCACAAAAACTAATGATGATAACCTTCTAATGCATTCAATGGGGAGATTAATGCACTGAGTTTGTTTCCAATGATGCTGCAACCTATGTAATTTTTTTGCAAATCACATTCCTTGGGATGCTTTTCAGTGTCTTTATGAAAAATCAAGTGTTTGCATTTCACACACTGAAGCCATTCTTGTTTCTGCTGTTTTGACTTCGGGGGCATTTCACTTTGCCCACGTGTTTCTGTTTACAAATACTACTGGTTACTTTCGACCGTTTCTTTAACCGGGGACCTGTTGAAAAATAGTTGTTACTCTCTACATAACTAAAATAATAATTATCTATTTATCTTTATTATTCAAATATGTAATAGAACTTTATGCAATTATTTTAATTCTTTCAAAAAACAATAAGTTATATATTTTGGTATGATTTTTGGTTATTCAATACCACCGGCTAAAATTAAGAGATTATATTGTCGCCATTTTGAAAATTTGCTACACGTTTCCGGCGACGACAAAAAAAAAGATTTGCAAGCTATGTTATAAAGAGCTACTTCAACATTTAAAGGCCGTATAGAGTAACCACAGAAATGATTATTGAAAACGTCGAAGCTTTGAAGAAATGGGTGATGGATACTGTTGCACCGATGTAGGTTTAACTTTAAGTACCGGCTGCTCGCATCCATGCCAGAGTTCGCGAAAACTTATTTCGACCCGTCGGTCATGGGACCGACAAAGCATGATTATTTGTCAGTCCTACAAAATTTTAGCCAGTCCTACAAAATCTGTCAATTTTATCCTGAAATAAAATTAATAACATATTCTATTGAAAAATAACTTTATTAATATTAGTTTGATTCTTCGCACCCACAGGCAAATTAACAATGAAGGACCAGTTCAGGTCTTCTGATTGTTCTTATTTAAAGTCATCTTCACTATCCATTTCATCATCTGAATCGCTTTCTCAGCTGTTACAGTATTTGTTTGCTCCATTGAAGGGTTCAATCGCCGATTGTTTGCCAGGGATGGCTCTATGAACAAATTTAGTAGGCCACGTGTAAATCGCCGCTTTGGTTTGTTTATAATAAATCTGTAAACTAGTACCGGAAATTGGCAGCGGGTACATCTGATAACCGATGTAAACACTTATTGGAAACAGTTGCGGTACATCTAATAACCGTTGTAAAAAAGTGCCGAAATATGCACTACAACGGCCGTTTTTACATCGGTCATCGGGACCGGCACTAGCCTTCAAAATACTGGTCCGAGCCTCATTTTGACCAATAGGACCGACAGGACCGACCATTTTCGCGAACTCTGCCATGCATCTGTTCAGAAAAATTTAGCTGATCCTGCGGTTCTGGTATGATCCAAATGCTATTTTTGACAATGCATTTGCAGACCATTGATAAAGCATAAGAACCGTAAGAGCTACAATCCCGCAGCTTTCCACAGATGTTGAACTTTAGAACAGGACCAATTTTATATGCATATAAACAAAAAATATCGCAGGGATCATAATACCTCAGCTACATGTATCACCTTGGTCCGTTGGCTCTCAAAACACTTCTTCTTCTTCATATTTCAATACAGAGTCGGAATCTTCTTGAGTGTAGAATGACTCTTGCTCATTTAATCATGAGGCCTTTCCTCCTCTATTATCAAATCCAGCAGTTTCTATTTACAATATTTATTTACAAATTTAAAGTATGTACATGTGGGATCTATGGAGTTCTAGATGTGAGAGTCTCCTGTCAAGGCCTCTGGCAGGATGGTAAGGCTGGCCTTGAACTCTTCTAGTGTAGCTGATGTGGCTTTGAGAAATATCTGGTAGAAAATGATCTACTTTATAATTTACAATCTGGTTTCAGATCTGCTTATTCCACAGATATATGTCTTATTCATTTGTTAGATCATATTAAAAATGAATCTGCTAAGGGACTCTTTACTGGAATGATAATGTTAGATTTGCAAAAAGCCTTTGACACGGTCGATCATCATATATTGTGTAACAAACTACAAATAATGGGTGTCAAATGTACTAAATGGTTTGAATCATATTTATGTAATAGACAACAAAAAGTTAGTATTAATGGTACTGAATCTGATTTAAGATATATTACATGTGGGGTACCACAAGGGAGTATTTTAGGACCACTATTATTCTTATGTTATGTTAATGACATGTCTATAAGTATAAGTAAAGACTGTAAAATTTTATTATATGCTGACGATAGTACCATACTATATTCTCATAAGAACCCAGAAGTTATATCTGAGAAACTGGGTAAGGAACTTGAATCTTGCAGCAAATGGCTTATCGATAATAAATTATCACTTCATTTGGGGAAAACAGAAACTATTCTGTTTGGGTCAAAACGTAAATTGTCTAAAATTCGTAACTTTGATGTTACATGTAATAATCACACAATTTCATCTCAAAATTGTGTGAAATATTTAGGCCTGAATATTGATTATTCTCTTTCTGGAGAAAAAATTTTAAATAATATTATTCAAAAGATAAATTCAAGATTGAAGTTCCTATACAGACAGGCCAAATGCTTATCAGAACAATCTAGAAAGACTAGTTACAGCTCTAATTCAATGTCATTTTGACTATGCCTGTTCTGCATGGTATGCTGGTGTCAGCAAAAAATATAAAGATAAGTTACAAGTATTACAAAACAAATGTGTTAGATTTATAAAAAATACTGGATATAGATCAAAAGTTGACCATAATGTATTGAATAGTATTGGTTATGTTAATATTGAAAATCGTGTTAAACAATTGAGATTAAACCATGTTCATAATATCTATTACCATCATTGTCCTAATTATATGTATACAAATTTTACAAAGGTGAGACATCTTCATCATCATTTTACACGAAATAGTGAATATAACTTCTGGGTTCCACCAGTAAAGAGTCAACAAAAAGATACATTTTATTTTAATGGCATACAAGATTGGAATATGTTGCCAAATAATGTTAAAAAAATAAAGAAAATAAAGGATTTCAAAATTAGTGTTAAAGAGTACTTGACCAAAAGTTATAGTGCGGCCTCATCAGACTTCTTTTTATATTATTAAACTAATTTTTTATTCAAATTATTCTTATATGAATTTTTTATGTCATATTAATTTGTGTGATATCTTTTTTGTATGTCGAAACTATAAGCCGTTTACATGAAGGGACCCCATTGGAAACAAGCTTTAAAGCTTTCATGGGTTATCCCTGATAAAATATCAGCAAATTTTTTCCATGCAGTTAAAGATTATCTACACTCATAAAATACCATTATATTTTACAAAGTATGTGTTAGTAATGTCTTAATGTATCGTATATATTGAGTATTGTATTAACTCATATGCTTGATATTTTATTGAATAAAATATTATTATTTTTCTGGTAAAGTGTTCCATTCCTTAGTTGATCTTGGAAAGCAGGAGTATCTGTACTGGTCTTTTAGAGTACGGTGTTGATGTATTAGATGACCTCCTCTGGTCAGTGAGTCTCCGGGTTTGTAATAATTAGATAGGTCAATGTCTACCAATCTGTTTTGTATCATATAGGCCATGATGATTAAAAAGGATGCAAACATACCCATAGTTCGAATGTGAAAGGGGGCGAACGTATCCGGATTCATGTATCACTATCAGGTTGGGGAAGATCAAATCCAAATAAATATTAATTCTTTGAAAGGGCTATTTTAAATTTTTTTTTCTGTGACGCCTTCCTATGATGTAAAGCTAAAGCCATTTTTTGTCTGGATTTTGAGAGAATTTTTGAATGAACTTTGAGACCCAATTTTGTCATTAAATCTTCATAATTTGAAGGCTAGAAATTTGCATATATACAAAGTCTTACCTTCTTGTCTACTTGTTTGTGCAAAATATTTCCAGAAATATCCATAAGTAATTATTAAGAATTAGCTAAAGGACGCCTCCGGGTGTGGGAGTTTCTCGCTGCATTGAAGACCCATTGGTGGCCTTCGGCTGTTGTCTGCTCTACATGCTCTATGGTCGGGTTGTTGTCTCTTTGACACATTCCCCATTTCCATTCTCAATTTTATAAAATAAGCTACGATTCCATTTGAGATGTGCAATAATTTATAATGGTTTTCCTGATTTCCCAAGATTCCTTCACTTCCGGAGCGTATAAAATACCAAACGCCGTAAAATTGGATTGACCCAAATTTCGGGAACATTCTATTTATATTATCCAGAAATTCAAGTCTGCCAAATTTTATATGATATTTAGTACATCTAGTGCATAGTAGCACTGAAAAGTTTAACAGAGAATGGAAATGGGGAATGTGTCGAAGGGACAACCCCGACCAAAGAGCAGAACAGCACAAGGCCACCAATGGGTCTTCAACGCAGCAGTTAAATTCCAGATTGGGAGCGAGCTTCAGCTGGCCCCTAAGCAATAATGTATGCTAGTTCAGCAAAAGCATGTCTCACTAATTCCAAAACACATAAATGAACCAAAATTTTAAAATAGGCATAAAACTAAATTTTTCTTTCATATCCATTTAAGTTCTCTTGTCTTAGTATGATGAAATCTTATTTTTAGGTATTAAAGAATAAGCTAAAATTATCAGCTTATTAACCCCTTTTTTCTCTGACAAGAACATGATTTTTTACTCTTTTTTTTCTTTTACAGTTGTGATGCAGATCCAGAGCCATTGTCACGCTATTGCTTAGCTTTGGTGAAGAAAGATAAATCTGAGTCTGAACTACGAGAATTTTGTCTAGATCAGCTAGAGGTCTTCTTACAGGGCAGTTAGTACTTAGTTTCACTTTGTTACATTAATTATATCACCACTACTTGCAGAATTGGTGATGTACTCATGATACTACATTCATTTTATTCTTCTATTTGTTCATTTATTTAATTAATTCTTAGTGTTTAGGAAGAAGTTGCTGTATTTTTATACGACCGCAAAAATTGAAAATTTTTTGGTCGTATATTGGTATGACGTTGGCGTCGTCGTCGTCGTCGTTGTCGTCGTCGTCGTCCGGCGTCGTCTGGCGTCGTCCGAAGACACATTGGTTTTCGCACTCTAACTTTAGTTTAAGTGAATGGATCTCCATGAAATTTTACCATAAGGTTCAATACCATGAAAGGAAGGTTGGGATTGATTTTGGGGGTTATGGTACCAACAGTTAAGGAATTAGGGGCCAAAAAGGGGCCAACAATAAGCATTTTTGTAACTTCCAGACAATAACTTGTGTGTAAGTGTATGGATCTCTCTGACATTGTACCACAAGGTTCCATATCACAAAGGGAAGGTTGTAATTGATTTTGGGGGTAATTGCCTCAAAATGTTAGGAATTAGGGGCCAAAAAAGGGGCAAAAAACAAGCATTTTTCTAGTTTCATGACAATAACTTGTGTGTAAGTGTTTGGATATTTCTGAAATTGTACTACAAGGTTCCATATCACAAAGGGAAAGCTGGAATTGAGTTTGGGGGTAATTGCCCGAAACGTTTAGGAATTGGGGGCCAAAAAGGGGCCAAAAATAAGCATTTTTCTAGTTTCCAGACAATAACTTGTGTTCAAGTGTATGGATCTCTCTGAAATTGTACTGCAAGGTACCATACCACAAAGGGAAGGCTGAGATTGAGTTTGGGGGTGATGAATCATAAGGGGGTTCAAAAAATTTTGGGGGGGGGGATTTTTTTTTTTTTCTTTTTTTTTTCTTTTTTTCCTTTTTTTTTTTCTTTTAAAATTTTCCATTTTAAGTTGGTTATTTCTGATTTATATTTAAAAGCAAATAATAATGATATGGTAGGAGATACACACCAAACAGGATGTGTAAATTATTATATAATAAGTATTGTGCAATAGCAAGAAATTTTCAATTGCACAGTATTGCACAATAGCAAGAAATCTTCAATTGCACAGTATTGCGCAATAGCAAGAAATCTTCAATTGCACAGTATTGCGCAATAGCAAGAAATATCCAATAGCACAATATTGCGCAATAGCAAGAAATTGTCAATTGTACAGTATTGCGCAATAGCAAGAAATAATCAATTGCACAGTATTGTGCAAAAGAAGATACTTCGTATAAATTGCTTATTTCTTGATCAATTTCAATGGGGTTTTATTCTTGAATTCTTGGGGTTCTTTAATATGCTGAATCTAACCGTGTATTAAGTTTTTAGATTTTGGGCCCCGTTTTTAAATTGGTCCACATTGAGGTCCAAAGGGTCCAAAATTTTACTTTGTTTGATTTCATCAAAAATTGAATTATTGGGGTTCTTTGATATGCCGAATCTAACCGTGTATTTAGATTCTTAATTTTTGGTTCTGTTTTCAAATTGGTCTACATAAAGGTCCAAAGGGTCCAAAATTAAACTTAGTTTGATTTCAACAAAAATTGAATATATGGGGTTTTTTGATATGCTGAATCTAACCATGTATTTAGATTTTTGATTATGGGCCCAGTTTTCGAGTTGGTCCAAATCGGGGTCCAAAATTAAACTTTGTTTGATTTCAACAAAAATTGAATATATGGGGTTCTTTGATATGCTGAATCTAACCATGTATTTAGATTTTTGATTATGGGCCCAGTTTTCAAGTTGGTCCAAATCGGGGTCCAAAATTAAACTTTGTTTGATTTCAACAAAAATTGAATATATGGGGTTCTTTGATATGCTGAATCTAACCATGTATTTAGATTTTTGATTGTTGGGCCCCGTTATCAACTTTGTCCACATTGAGATCAAAAGGGTCCAAAATTAAACTTTGTTTGATTTCATCAAAAATTGAATATATGGGGTTCTTTGATATGCTGAATCTAACCATGTATTTAGATTTTTGATTATGGGCCCAGTTTTCGAGTTGGTCCAAATCGGGGTCCAAAATTAAACTTTGTTTGATTTCAACAAAAATTGAATATATGGGGTTCTTTGATATGCTGAATCTAACCATGTATTTAGATTTTTGATTATGGGCCCAGTTTTCAAGTTGGTCCAAATCGGGGTCCAAAATTAAACTTTGTTTGATTTCAACAAAAATTGAATATATGGGGTTCTTTGATATGCTGAATCTAACCATGTATTTAGATTTTTGATTGTTGGGCCCCGTTATCAACTTTGTCCACATTGAGATCAAAAGGGTCCAAAATTAAACTTTGTTTGATTTCATCAAAAATTGAATATATGGGGTTCTTTGATATGCTGAATCTAACCATGTATTTAGATTTTTGATTATGGGCCCAGTTTTCAAGTTGGTCCAAATCGGGGTCCAAAATTAAACTTTGTTTGATTTCAACAAAAATTGAATATATGGGGTTCTTTGATATGCTGAATCTAACCATGTATTTAGATTTTTGATTATGGGCCCAGTTTTCAAGTTGGTCCAAATCGGGGTCCAAAATTAAACTTTGTTTGATTTCAACAAAAATGGAATATATGGGGTTCTCTAATATGCTGAATCTAACCGTGTATTAAGTTTTTGGATTTTGGGCCCCGTTTTTAAATTGGTCCACATTGAAGTCCAAAGGGTCCAAAATTTAACTTTGTTTGATTTCATCAAAAATTGAATTATTGGGGTTCTTTGATATGCCGAATCTAACTGTGTATTTAGATTCTTAATTTTTGGTTCCGTTTTCAAATTGGTCTACATAAAGGTCCAAAGGGTCCAAAATTAAACTTAGTTTGATTTTAACAAAAATTGAATTTTTAGGGTTCTTTGATATGCTGAATCTAAACATGTATTTAGATTTTTGATTATGGGCCCAGTTTTCAAGTTGGTCCAAATCGGGGTCCAAAATTAAACTTTGTTTGATTTCAACAAAAATTGAATATATGGGGTTCTTTGATATGCTGAATCTAACCATGTATTTAGATTTTTGATTTTTGGGCCCTGTTATCATTTTTGTCCACTGTTATCATTTTTGTCCACATTGAGATCAAAAGGGTCCAAAATTAAACTTTGTTTGATTTCATCAAAAATTGAATTCTTGGGGTTCTTTGATATGCTGAATCTAACCATGTATTTAGATTTTGGATATTGGACCATAATAGGTGAATGTCCAATTTAAAATTTTTAAGTTCTTAGACCACATTCATTCTGTGTCAGAAACCTATGCTGTGTCAAATATTTAATCACAATCCAAATTCAGAGCTGTATCAAGCTTGAATGTTGTGTCCATACTTGCCCCAACTGTTCAGGGTTCGACCTCTGCGGTCGTATCAAGCTGCGCCCTGCGGAGCATTTTATTTCAATATAATTTCAGATATAGGTTAAAAATGAAAATTTGAATAATTCATACTCAAGCAATACAGAAAATGGCACACACCAATTTTAACATTGCAACTGTTTTAGGCTTAGAAACTTGAAACATGTCCTAAGGACTGTTAAAGAAAAAATTTAAAGGGGGCATCAAGTTTTTATAGAAGTGTCCACTAATAAATACTTGGCAATGTTTTTGTTATACCATATATAAGAGGCAATGCATTAATTTCCCCAATTGTATATTGTATTTGAGTATTATATACTTTAATGTATATTCCCTTTAAGAAAAATATTATGTAACAAAACAAACAAAATTTATTAAGATATATTTTCCTCTTCAGAGACAGCAGGCTTTGTTGATGTTCTTTTCGATGCTTTAAAGTCAAAAGCTTACCTCCAAACCAAAGGAAAACTAGATGTATCAGATATCATTCAGGAGACACCCTCCTCGACAACAGATGATATAAAGGTCAAAGAAGAACCAAAAGAGGTAAAAAAGAAAGGCCAATTTTGAGATATACATAAATAATTTTCACTGTGAAAGACTTAATACACAGTCTAAGGGTTTGCTTTTATTCTAGAAGGAAATTTAATGTTTATTTCATTTGGGGGAGGGGGCTGGAATGTCAATGCTTATTGTCCAATAAATAAATGAAAATTATCTTGAAAATGGCCACAAGAGGCATTCTTGTTTCGTACTGTTTGGCATTCTGTCCATGTGCTTTGTCAGCACCACTTCTCCTAAACAACTACTGATATTGATGAAACTTTATACAAATGTAGAACGCTACATGAGGATAATCATATAGGAATATTATCCTAGTCTACATTTTAAATAGGATATAATCAATTGTTTACTCTACCAGAACATGCTGAAGAGAACCCTATTAAATCCTAGTCACACATTTTTAACAGGATATAATCAATTGTTTTACTCAACCTGAAAACCATATTAAATCCTAGTCTCACATTTTAAACAAATGTATTTTGTATAAATACTTACTTCAACATTGCAATTTGTGGTCATCATGGTCATAGCCTCCTGTATGAGTTCACATTAACATCTTGCCATCACGAAATCATCATGACCATGGCCTTCCATTGCAGTGGAAAGAATTTTTTTTTTACAGCATCATAAATCGACTGTCTTAGGTTTGCAATAATCAATTATTTGGTACATCAAATGATTATGTTTACCGTTATACAATAATCTATATGCCAATTTATGTAGATTATCTTTTGAATTCTTTAAGCCTCCAGTTAAAAGAAGCAACAGTAAGGAAGATCAAAAAGATTTACGAGATGTTATCAGGAAACGACACAGTTCAAGAAGTCCTAGTCCTCGAAGGAGAGAATTGTAAGTTGAGTACTTGGTTTATAAATTGGGTGGTGCTTGTATATGTATAAAGGAACAGTCAATGTATTATTCTGCAGATGCAGTGTGGATTTTACTTTACTTGTGAAGTTTTGCATCTAAATTTTTGATAGTTGTACACAAGATCTATACTGTTAACTGTGATCTTTTTATATATATATTTTTTGAATATTCACTGAAATATTAGAACACTTTACATATAAAATACATATAAAAATAAGAGGATGTGGTATGATTGCCAGTGAGACAACTCTCCACCGAAGACCAAATGATGACGAAGTTAAGAACTATTAGTCAATGTATGGCCTTTAACAGTGAGCAAAGCCCATTCCCCATAGCAAGCTATAAAGGACTTCAAATTGACTAAAGGCCCAATTTATGTACAAAGCAATAAATGAAAATCAAATATGATTTACATCAACAAATAACAACCACTGAATTTCAAGCGATAACATATTTTAAACAATGTTTTTGTTTATTTACATGATAAATGTCTAATATAAGAAAAAAGCTCCTCAATTATTCTGCATTTTAGATAGATGAAACAGCAAATTTTTCTGCCATCCAGACTTTTCATTGAGTACTCAGTACTTTAGCTCTTCTAAACAACTGATCAATACTGCCTGAATTGAGGAATTTCATATCATGTATTCATAGAATACCTAGAAAAATGCCTCCTATAGTTAAGGAAAGTACTGGTCCACATCTGACAAAGATATGACCAGAAAGAGTAATGATTACACAAATCAAGGTAGAATATGGTACATAATGTTTAGAAACCTTTAATGTACCCTTGTATATGATATATGCACTATTCCTTTTTGTTGTTTTGTCAGTGATGAAAGAAGACGGAGAGTTGATGACAGGAGAATTAGGCGAAGAACTAGATCAAGAAGTCCATACAGACCACCTAGAGCTCGATCTCCGAGAGCATGGTCACCAAGAGGGAGATCAAAGTCGCCAAGACACTGGTCACCTAGGGCAAGATCCCCTAGATTGAGGTCAAGATCACCAAGAGGTCGAAGTCCTAGGAGGATTGTAAGGGAATCACCAAAAAGATGGTCACGATCACCAAGATCTAGGTCTCCAAGAGGAAGATCACCTGGTTACAGGTCACCCAAAGCTAGAGCCAGGTCACCAAGGTCACCCAGGCGATCTGGATCATGGAGTAGGTCAAGGTCAAGATCCAGATCTACCCCTAGGTCACGTTCTAGGTCGGGATCAAGGTCTCCAGGTGAGTTTTTATAATATTGAATGAGACATGAGAAAATCAGATGACATTGCAGTGTTGTTAAAACTACTGTTTGAGATTGGTCACATATTTCAATCACAGATGTTCAATTTATACATGTAGCTCATGTTCTAATACAAGGCCAGCAAAAGATGGTCTTGCAGTAAAATGATGAATGCATTATTGGTCAAGATTAAGTTGTCAGCAGTACCAATTTTGTAAAAATGAAGTCTGACAAAAGATAGATGGGAAGAGACCTGCAGATTGTTGCTAATGCATTATGGGGAACCCCGATTGTAGTCATCTACATCAGTTTAAAAAAAATATATATATGACATTATTTCATGAGAAACTTGCAAGTTGCTAAATTCCGAATGAGTTTCTATTTTCTATTGATAAGCTCCCAACAGTTTCCATACAAGAATATTTATTCTCCTGACCTGAAGTAGTATACTGTTTATGATTGACCTTCTGTCCCTTGAAATTGTCAGTTTTCTCAGAAACTGCAGGTCAGAGCTTTGGCATCGAGCTTCGTGTCTAAAGCATTGCTAGTCCCAGGTGTTGCACTTTTTTGGTACCTATCATTTATTTTGGTTATCAGTTATTAGCATATACCTGCAGGCCATAATCTTGCCGGCGAAATGACGATACAAGTCGCCAAAGAATTTTGAAAATTGCTAAATCTCGCCGGCCGACTGACTTCTTAGCGAAGTCAAATCGCTATCAAAATCGGTAAAAGGGAGACAACTTGTGATTGACAAGTCTCACAGGTAAAAAAAAATGGCGGCTGACAAGGAAAATCGAAATTTTCGAAACGACCCAGGACTAATACTGTTAAAGATCAAATTAAATAAATACAGCGGCGACTTTGAACATCCTCGGATATAACTTTCAAAACTGTTCATACGGAAAACTGACAGTCTGTTTAAGTTATCGTTTTACGATGATTTTCATCTGAGGATGTTGCGTAATCACTCAGCTGATTTGTTTTATTTTTATTACCTACATGAGTCAATCAATTTTACTATTCGGTAGGTAAAGGGTGGGAATTAACGGTAGATTTATTATATTCATTGAATAAAAATTGAAATATAAAAGGTAGAAAGACAGCTGATGGATAATGTGATTGCAAACGTACGACACTTAGACCAGATTGTGATCAGCAGTGGATTGTTTCTCATGACCACTTCGTTGATATGGATGATATTTTCAAAAAATATGATAGAAATTAGCTCTTTATCGGATAATTAACTTGAGATTGAAAGATATTTTCATTTATAGACTTACAATCTTTAACGATAATCTCAATTTACTACAACTAACATAAATGTCCTGGACATTCAATAATGTTTTACAAAACAATGACAAATGGTGATATAAATTAAATTCCCAGTCATGTGAAATTCATCATATTTTTCTGGAGTTTTAAAAATGAATTGAGGCAGATGCACATGAATTTAATGCATCATAATCTTGATAATATTACTAGGCTACGCCCTCATTTCCCAATCAACAAATTTTATTTAGAACACATTATGGTATCAATAAATAAATAACAACTATATATTGTCTAGTAAACCTTTTTATTAAGAACTTTCTAAAACACGATGCAACCGAAACGGTTATGGAATCTCACTTCTCCAAGAAGTTGACCACTTCTCCCTTCTCTCTCATGGAAGGAGAAGTCACTTCTCCCTCTTCAAAATCCTAGATTAGGCCCTGTACCTGTAGTCTAGAATCAACCCTTTCCTTTATGTACTTCATGAAACTTGCATTGTATACAGGTATTGTCATTTTTGTAGCAAATGTTTCTGTGTGAATTCCATACAATATGGCCATATTATTTAATTTCAGGAAGGAAAAGAGACAGCAGAGGTCCGACTCCAACTATGGATAATGGAAAATATGTAGAATCTAGTATTCCTGTCATGGGGGTCACTGTCTACAGCACAGCTAGAACGGAATCCAATGAGACTAAGCCGTCAACTGTTAAATCACTGCCCAGATGCAAAGATTACGATGGTAATTCAGGATTCTCCGTCTTTAGCGGTGGATGATCTTGTCATTGCTTTCTATGTTTGTAAAGGGGAAAAAAATGAAAATTCAATTTATCTTTGGTGAATCTAAATATTGAAAGATCTGAAATAAAATTCTCATCATTGCTCTTTCTTTAAAAAAAGAAGACCAGAATAAAAAGAAATAGTCTTGCATGTGAAAAAAAGGAACTCCCAAAAAAGAAAAAAAAAGAAAAAAAAAAGGAGTAAGCAAGAAAAAGAAAAAAAATGAAAAAAAACTAAAGAGAAAGAAAAAAGAAGCAAATAATTGAGAAAAAAAAATAATAAAAATTATGATGTGAGAAGATACAAGAGCAAAATAAAGAAAAAAATCAGGAAGAAAAATGAGAAGACTAAAAAATGAAGGAAAAGAGTGAAGGAAAAAAATAAAACGCCTTCAAAGAATTAAAATCTTCAAGAAAAAAAGAAAAGAAAAAATATGCAGACTGGTCATAAGAAAGAGTGTGATGCTTATTTGGTAAATCAAGTTATCTTGATACATTTTCATACTTGAAAAAAGTTAAGATATAGCTTTATAGAAATCATGTGCTATTTTATGATTAAAGATAACAATTGCAACATTACTTTAAAAAAAAAGGACTGGATTGTAAAAAATAATTATGATGTGCACCTGAAAAAATTTAATTTCTTTTAAAAAAAAAGCAAATTTAGTTTCAAAATCTTGAGCAAAAGAGGAAGGAAAAAATAAAACCTTCAAAGCAAAAGAGATAAAAAGAAAAAAATAGAAAAGGTGCAGACTGGTCCACAGAAAGAGTTCAGGCTATTCTTTTAAATGCATGTTAATGGAATTTTGGTTTAAATTGCTGCATGTATTATGTTAATATGTTTCTTTCTTAAATACTCAAACTGATAAAATACCGATTTCTCAATATTTAGGTTGTATAAAGTTCAAACTTCATGGAATATATATATGTCAATTGAACTTTGCAAAATTTCTAGCAATTTTTAAATAGAATTGTATAAATTTATATTATGTTTCATTATTTTAAATATGCTTGTTAAAAAAACGGCATTAAGGAAAAAAGAAACAAAAGGGATGATTTTTTGGCCTTCAACTGCTTATTTTCAACTTAACTTTCAAACAGAAATTAGTTTGAGTATTTAATTGCTTTTATTTATGATATAATGAACACAAGTATTGGGTCAGAAATTGAAGAAAAAAAAATTATTTTAAGATAGAATCAAAGAAAAAAATGAAAAAATAAGATTTAAGAAAAAAAGAGGTTTAGAAACAGAAAAAAATTTCGACCCAAATATGAGAATTAGAAAAGTTTGTATTTTGACAGAGCAGGGATTCTGCATGAGAGGAGACTTGTGTCCATTTGACCATGGAATAGATCCAGTCATTGTTGACGATGTTCCTATCACATCATACCCTCCTCCTTCAGGTAAGGGGTCAGTTTAGGGTGCTGCTTTAATAACCACAGGTCATGCTTTTGGTTAGAATTAAAAGAAAAATGGTCAGTTCAAAATTAAAAAAAAAAAGATAAATACGAAACATTTCTGATGAATGGTCATTATTTATACCATGAATTTAACTATAGGCTATTCCAGAAAAGAAATATAGGGTTGGTTGGTTGGTTTGGAAGGCTATTCAATTATTTTTTACAGGTGGGGGCAGGTCACGAAGTTCAAGTTGTGTGGTTATGTATGTAAAATAAAATGCAATTGTAAAGATGATGGCCTTAAAAAAAGTGCCATACAACCCTCCATATTGTTTTTTCTGGAATAGTCCTAAGTGACAAATGCTATTGTTTCTGGTGTATTAGGTAACTCATGCACATTTCAAAAAGGTTTTGAAACTTGGCCATTTACTATTAAGGTATTTGCAGGAGCATAAATTAGTATTAACTAAAAAATACAAAAGAAGGTCATTTTTATATTTTTATTGCTACCATCATGTTGTTTTTGTGAAAAAAATATGTTGTTCCCTTATAATTGGTGGTATTCATTCATTCATTTTAACAATTCATTCTTTTTACATTCACTCATTCTGTCTGGAAAAAGCATTCCATTCATTGAAGCATTCTTTAAATTCATGATTTTTTTCCCATTCACTCATTCAGTATAAAATTTCATTCATTCAATACAAAATAAGGTTTTGTTTACAATAACACCTTCATTCTCAGAATGACTTTAAATTTTTGTACAAGGAACTGTAAAGTTAAAAATGCTTTTCGTTGTTGCACCTCAGATGTAATTTTATATGCTCTTTATCTTACAGGACCACCACCTCCTCCAGCCAGTGGAGCACCACCAATGCCACCACATGGTGGACCACCACCACAAATTATACGGCCTCCACCACCCAGGCCAGGTTTGTACATGCATGCTTCAGGTTTCTCAGAATTTTAAACCTTTTAGATATATAAGTGCACACAAATATATGACAGTGTGTTATGCAGAAAGAAAGAATTCAAAATTTTCCTATAGCTACCAAAGAAAAAGTTTATGAAAGTAACTGCACAAGGTTTATACTATAAATGAAAATAAGGAGATGTGATTTGATTGCCATTGAGACAACTCTCCACCAGAGACCAAAAGATATAGATGTTAAAAACTATAGCTTGCCTTTCAGCCTTCGACAATGAGAAAAACCCATACAGCCTAGTAAGCTATAAAAGGCCCTGAAATCATAGATGTAAAATATCTCAAACAAGAAAACTATCGGCCTGATTTATGTACAAAACAATAAAACTAAAAACAGATTTGATATACAACAACAAATGACGACCACTGATTTACAGGCTCCTGACTTGGGACAGGCACATACAGAATTGAGTAGGGTTAAACATGTTTCCTGTCCCCAAACCCTCTGCCTAACCTAATACTAATTTATATTCATTTGAATACAATGCATTTTTCCATGAACAAACAACAGGGTCAAGCAAAGAAAAAATTTGATACATATATGTTGCTTTTCTTATTTTATTTTGAGATAGGGTAAGGTTCTCATAAAGAAAAATCCCATTGGATACCACAGAAAATATTAAAAAAATAATTACCAGTTTGATGAAGGCATCCTTCATGCTCTTTAAAACCACAAAATGTCTTCACTGAATAAAATGTTTAGATTGTACAGTAGGACTAGTACATTTCACTACATTGTTTTCAAATTCATGTTGCCATTCCTAGAAATTATCATAATTAAGAGCCCAAGCACAGTTTTCTTGCATTAAATTTTTTTCTGTATAGATTTCATTGCTTATTTTGTTATGTATGCATCTTGTGTCTCTGCTTCAGAAAATTGTTAATATAAACCTGTGACAAATTGAAAACATTAGTGCAATGAAAACTGTTTGATTGTGTCTTATTTCAAAATTAAAACTAACACTTATCATTTAACACATTTTGTTAACCGTTATGGAATAACCGTTTCACAGATGATATCGGATATGTTCCTTATGTCGTAACTACAATACCCTCCCTTTTCACGAATGTGACTTACCGAATTAGACTATTTACCGGATTTGTAATAACATAAGCAACACGACGGGTGCCACATGTGGAGCAGGATCTGCTTACCCTTCCGGAGCACCTGAGATCACCCCCAGTTTTTGGTGGGGTTCGTGTTGCTTAGTCTTTGGTTTTCTATGTTGTGTCATCTGTACTATTATTTGTCTGTTTGTCTTTTTATTTTTGGCCATGACGTTGTCAGTTTGTTTTCGATCTATGAGTGTGACTGTCCCTCTGGTATCTTTCGTCCCCCTTTGTTAACTATAATGCCATTATTTTTTGAAGACCATTGACATGACATAGTAAGTATATTTTTTTATCTCAATTTGTATTCTAGAACATTTCGAACCTTACAATCCAGAAGCACCAGCCATGAGCAGGCCTCCACCATATTGGACTGGACCTCCTCCACCTCTTGGTGGTCCACCTCCACAAAGACCTCCTGGGATGTTTATGATGCATGGACCTCCCCTTCCTCCAAACTTGAACCAGCAGAGACCAAGGGACCTTGTTAATATACAAACTATGCCTAATCAAAGAAATGGTAAGTTAGACATGTTAGAGATATAACCATGGAAATGTGTTGTTTTTGATACAGTGAATTCATTTATATTTGTGGATGAAGGAAATATTATGGTTTCACAAATATTTGATTTCAATGTTTTGACAAAGTCAATAAACAATCCTATAGAAAATGCGCTCATTGTTAAACATTCAGATTCGTGGTTCTCCTATAAACACAGAATCCACAGAAAATTGATATCCCACAAATAATAATGAATCCACAGTATTTGGGTGTATTTAAAAGAAATATCTTATCATGCAGTGGTAGAATCTGTTTCTGAAATGATTTTTGTTGATATTTAAAAAATTTAAAGATGTGCTAGATATGATTTATTATTTTTGTGACATCAGTTTCTGTTGTGCAATCACAATGACAGAACCAGCAAAATGAGCAAATTTGATTTGATAGTAGAACTTTAACCAATGAGAAAAATAAAACAAGTAATCCACACATTGATCTTCAAAGACTGATAAATTAATCAACTAACAGTCAGGGGACTTACTTAAATGAGTGATTTTCTAAATCACTTATTTAAGTAACATTATGTCCATAAAGGTTGGAAGTAAGAGTTGTCTTTCTTTAATAATCACCTTTTTAAGTAGTACAAATTTATCACTAGACTAAGTGATTTAATTTTATTGTAGCTTTAAATATAGAATACTAATGATCCAGGGACTAATTATTTTTCTAAAATTATCAGAACCAACATCTGTATTGATAGGATGACTGGGTCATATCAGGTGATGACCTTGTACTAAATCTAGGATAATGACATAAAAATCACTTGTTTAAGTATCATACCTCAATTTCCTTTCAAAAAATCACTTCTTTAAGTATCATCATTTTAATAACCCCCACTAATTTCAACACTCCCGAACAGTGATATTTTGATCGCGAACGGTAGAATTTTATTACATAATCTATAAGATGAAACCTTGAACTTTACAGGAAAAATACCCCCAATGCTTGGAAAAATCTGTTAAGAAAGTATCAGTTCATTATGTAAAGCCATTTTTATAGCATTTTTTCAACTAAAATAGAATTTGCAGCTAAATGATTGCATCAAAGGCATAAACCTTGCTGCTTAAAAGAAGCAAAAAGTTCATTTTTTTCAATTTTACTAATGAAAAGATATTATCTAAACCTATGTGTTTAAAATTTTGGTAAAACTAAAAATTCACAATTTGTGACAAAACTTCGAATTTGCTGACTGACTAAGAACTAAAGGAGAACTTATTAAATTGAAATCAAATGAAAACCCTGTAACATGCAATTCTTCAATGTAAAGCAATAGATTGAAAATAAAAAACTAGAAAATTTCATATAAATGGTTTCTATGTTAACTAGAGTTCACAGAAGAAAGAAATTATAACTAAACTATCATTTATTTGTTATATCAGACGAGCCCCCCATCCATCCTCCTGGCACTGAGCCTGTACATATCCCTCCTCCACCACAATCTCAACCTGAGAGGACAGTCATTGCACCAAAGAGGCCTTATGATAATGGACAAGACAGACATTACGGAGGGCCACCTTCAAAGAAACCGTTTGATTACAATAGGATTGGAGGTATAGTTTTCTTGAAATCTGTCAGACCATAGATAACTTCTTTAATGATTGGGCTTTGACAGACTAATGTAAAATATCTGATCTAATATGTTACAACAAAATCAGCTCACTACTTAACAATTTAGGAAAACCAGAGATCACACATATTGCCTCAGTCCAATCTATTTTTCCTACAAGAAAAGATGTGGGTACACATCAAATAAACAGCAACCCAACATCACAACAAAACCAGGAAGGACCATCTTGAGATTAACACATAGTCTTTAACAATAGACAATTGTGTATCCGATAGACTATGCTTTGTAGAGTGCCCTGAGTGTAGGCACTTAGTTGTTATACCAGATGTATTAAGTAGCAGTAAGCAGGAGTAAAGCATAAGGTAACAGGTTTCCTCAAAATACCAGTTATACATGTACATGATCTCAAAGTCACAGTGATGTCTTCAACATAGAGCAAATGATTACAAGTCGTTCCAACTTCAAAACATTTTTTGTTTTCTCTGGTGTCCTACATAAAAATATGTATTCTTATTTCAAGAAGATATTTGTTTATTGTTTTACATAACAAGGTGTTAAATTGCTTAACGACCTAATGTACTCTTACTTTGTAACTGAGCAAAAAAAAAAGAAAGTATAATCATTTTTCATCACTTTAATGCCTTGTTTATTATAAACTTTTTTTGATTGTTACTAGGTTACAGAAAACCAGGAGCTAATAACACCAATACAACATTAGAACTGAGGAAAGTTCCAAGGGAGAATAACAATATTGCCAAATTGTATGAATACTTTGGAAAGTTTGGTACACTCACCAATGTACAGGTAGGTTTTGTATGAATACTTTGGAAAGTTTGGTACACTCACCAATGTACAGGTAGGTTTTATATGAATACTTTGGAAAGTTTGGTACACTCACCAATGTACAGGTAGGTTTTGTATGAATACTTTGGAAAGTTAGGTTTTGTATGAATACTTTGGAAAGTTGGGTACATTCACCAATGTACAGGTAGGTTTTGTATGAAAACTTTGGAAAGTTTGGTACACTCACCAATGTACAGGTAGGTTTTGTATAAATACTTTGGAAAGTTAGGTTTTGTATGAATACTTTGGAAAGTTGGGTACATTCACCAATGTACAGGTAGGTTTTGTATGAATACTTTTGAAAGTTTGGTACACTCACCAATGTACAGGTAGGTTTTGTATGAATACTTTGGAAAATTTGGTACACTCACCAATGTACAGGTAGGTTTTGTATGAATACTTTTGAAAGTTTGGTACACTCACCAATGTACAGGTAGGTTTTGTATGAATACTTTGGAAAGTTTGGTACACTCACCAATGTACAGGTAGGTTTTGTATGAATACTTTGGAAAGTTTGGTACACTCACCAATGTACAGGTAGGTTTTGTATGAATACTTTGGAAAGTTTGGTTCACTCACCACAGTACAGTAGGTTTTGCATAAATACTTTGGATATTTTGTAATGCTCATTAATGTGTCAAATTATTACTTATTTCCTTCTGAGGGAAATTTCCAGGGAAAGATTTACAGTAAAATGTATTCAAATTGTTATCTATGATATTAGTCTTTATTTTAAAGTAAATATTTTTTTTAGAAAAAACTTTCAAATCAACAGTCTATTGTTTTGTAGCTTTGGAACTCTATATTGTCTAATGAAACAATGCTGTTGTGGTCAATAAGTATTTTTATGCCCCACCTACGATAGTAGAGGATTATGTTTTTCGGTTTGTACGTTCGTTCGTTCGTCCGTCGGTTTCTCTTCAGGTTAAAGTTTTGGTCAAGGTAGTTTTTGATGAAGTTGAAATCAACTTGAAACTTAGTACACATGTTCCCTATGATATGATCTTTCTAACTTTAATGCCAAATTAGAGTTTGACCCCAATTTCATGGTCCACTGAACATAGAAAATGATAGTGCGAGTGGGGCATCTGTGTACTATGGACACATTCTTGTTTTCTTTGATGGAGATTTGACTACCTTACTTGTTTCCATAGTAACTGTTCTGGTTAGTTCAGATATTCTTGTTGATGGAAAGCCTGGAAATTACCAAAGAAACATTCTGTTTATTACTGACTTTTTGTTTTGAGGCCACTGAAATATTTGTTTACTGTTACTACCATAGTAACCTATCTGGTTCTTTTTTACAGGTATCTTTTGAAGGAGACCCAGAAGCTGCTGTGATATGTTTTGCCAACAATGCCCAGGCCTTTGCTGCCTACAGGAGTAGTGAACCAGTTTTCAACAACAGATTTATTAAAGTCTTCTGGCATAAACCAAAAGATAAAAAAGAACAGGTAAGATACTGTGTGCTGATACATCATGTACATGGAGATGGGCTCTACACAAACAATAAATATTCATCTCTTATGTTTTAAATATTGCATGAGTATTCATGATAAAAAAATCAAACATAAGTAAACAATATATCAGTAGGGAAGGTTCAAAGTCATACCATGCTATTGGTTGAAAATCCATTGTTTACAAATCAAAAAGCTTTTTGTGTACAGGCACCTTAACATACATGTATGACATGCATTGGAATTAAATGTGGAAACCATGTCATACATTCTTATATAAATAAAATTCTTGAGTGCTACATGTATTTAGTGAATTACTAGAAACTATTAAAAGGGAAAGAGAGTACATGGGAGACATTTTGTGGTGTAATAATATAAGTTTGTAAAAAAATTTTCATCTATCATTAATAACATAATAGTTATTGAAAAACTGGTCATTATTATTGTGATATATGGACTGCCCACAGGACAGTGGTATTGACTAAGAAAGCGATAATGACTGAGATATAGGCGAGGTCATTATGGCTGTCGCAGTCAATACCATTGTCCTACGGGCAGTCCATGTATCACGATAATGACCAGTTCTTCAATAACTATTATGTTTTTTTCATTGAGGAACCATGTTTTTAAAAATTCTCATAAATTCGAATTGTTCAAAGCAAACTCGAGTTATTGTACGATTTCTATAGGAAAGAGTGAAGACCAGTCATAGTGATAACTATAAGTCACTGCCATTAATTTAAGTGCGATTTTTCAGGGTATGATTACAAAATAAAGTTTTCTATAATTTTATAATTAACTAATCGCGATTGCATTATGTTAAAGGGACATCACTCTAAACAGAGAAACCACGCCCCACTGGTCATTAACATGTTAAAGTCCGTTAACGACCGGTTTTCTTATCCGTTTTTTTCTGTTAGAGACCGATGGAATTTTTTAATAAAGAATAAAGAATGTCATGTGGCCCCTTGTTATCCAATAAGAGAAGCTAATTCTTAACGGATATGAAATAAATATAAATATCTTTCAGGGAGATGACTCAAACACAACGACATCTGATGCAACAAGTACAACACCAACTCCTCCTCCACCCAAACAGAAGGATGAAAGAAATGTCAAATTACGTGTGGAAATTCCTCCTGCTCACAAATTGTCGCTAAACAATACAATACCCAAACAGTATGATGCTTCCAAACCAGAAAAGGTTTTTATTAACTGATTTTTTTTCCAAATTTGAACATATATATATTTTAAACTCATACTTTTAATCTAAAAAAATATTTGAGATGAAATCAATTGTATAAGACATCTTATAGCTAATTATTCTTTTAAGGTTGGGCTATTGCTCATAATCTTATAATCTATTTCAACAAGAAATTATTTTAGGTTTATGTGTTTGACAGTTGAAATTTAAATAAATGTATGAAAAATTTGAAAAAAAACATTATTTATTATCTTGCTCATTGATAACTTGATAGAAATGGGAAAAAAATAATTGATATAATTTCAAATACAAATTTTGACAAAACAGAAAAAGTCCTTTATCATTTTGTTTTTGATGGTTTTCTTGCTTGAAGCAAATAAATGAATGTAAATAGATCGTAAAGAAATGTGGTATTCATTCTATACTTTAAATAACATCTTTAATTCTATGTTTATATTGTAGAGTATTGTGTACACACCATCCTTGGGGGTTATTACAAAGACTGTGTACAATCCCAAAGTGTCACCGGCTGCCAAACCAAAACTCACTAGTCCAACATCCATAGGGTCGGCCCAGTTTGTGTCAAAGATAGAGGCCATTAAAAAAGCAGAAGACCTAAAGAAAGAGGCAGCCAAGAAAAAAGCAGAGATACAAAAACAGAAACAAGAACTGTTGCAGAAACAAATAGAACAGCAGAAAGTAAGAAACAATTCTGTAAAATTTCATAAAACTACATCTTTATTTTACACACCTGCCCCTTATCACTCAGGGTATATAGTGTTACCATTATCTTTCATTCCTGTCCCTTGGAAATCAAACAGATTTTCATTTTGCCTGCAGATTGTGACCTAAATATTTTTAAATGTTATTCGTTGGATACCAATTTTCGTTGAATTCCTGGTTACAGGGGAATCATAAATTTAAATGTTCAACAAATTACAAATTTTCTATATGGATGTTTGCAGACTTGGGCAAAACTATGAAATCAAATATCCACAAAAATGCAAGTTTTCCTTAATCTGTGAAAAATGGTACCTAGAAAAATAAATGAATCCACAGTATTAGGAAGAAAATAAGTTAACACTTCAATGGTTTACACTGTAATTCTAATAGTGATAGGGGAAAAAAAACATACATAATTTTAAGACAAAAAAAATTCAGGTATTAAAAAAGAGTCAAAGGATACCAAAGGGACATTCAAATTCGTAAGTCGAAAATAAACTGACAATGCCATGGCTAATAAGAAAAAAGACCAACAGACAAACAATAGTACACAAGACATAGAAAACTAAAGACTGAGCAACACGAACCCAACCAAAAAACTAAGGGTGATATCAGGTGCTCTGTAAGGGTAAGGGCTATTCCATTAAAAAGGAGGTACTAGGGTCGGAAGGCAATTTTTAAGTACCCCCATGACCAAGAGGAATGTACCATGTATCTTAACACCAACCAACAGGAAGTCGTTTCATAATAATACAAGAACCAACTGGAATATATTTAACTTATTTTATTCTAATTTACCACAACCAAAGGAATTGTTATTTAAACATTATAGTTGCTGGACAATTTAGAGGGAGTGGACAGGGTCAAGGAGCTACAATATTTGGTTATTACTATGATATAAAGGGCTATTTGTATATCTTTTTTTTTATATTGTTCAATTCATACCCGAGTATACAACTAAAGTAACAGTTCAAATTCAAAGCTGTTTAAATGTACCATATCTAGTTGCACTATTATATAAGCTCTGTAAAAATAAAGTAAGAAACTTCCAGATTTTTACTGGCCGTTCAAAATTGAGAAGAAATGACCTCTTGGAATTGTAGATGTTTACTCTATAAAAACATCTACATGTAATATCAACATTTATTAATGATAAAGAAAATTACTGTCACATTTCATTGGATTTTGACATGAAAATTTGTGAACTAAAAGTTATTTTGAGTTTCTGTATAAAATATTTCATGCTTTTCTTTCTTTTCCATATATCTTATGGTTTTCAATTCTAGTGTTTATATTTCATCATCATAGATGTATTTTGTCACCTGCGTGGAATTTTTTGTTTTGTTTATTGTATTTGATCGGCAAACCCGGAATTACCCTTATCCGACCCCGGAATCTGATTGGCTATTGCAATCGTCTTCATTTCCGGTTTATGGCATCCATTGTTTTTCAATGTTGTTTTTGTCAGTCAGATACGATTTTACTCGTATTCACGCATTACTTGTTGGCAATTTTCAGTATAATGCTAGCGGTTGAACAAACTGAGCATCGCTGTCATGAATAATAAAGATAAAAATAAATTTTGAGATCGTTTGGAAGTTTAGGTCCCAAATTGAAAATTGGGAAACGTAGTCGTAGGGTATTTGCCATTGCCAATAGGAATGGGTCCGGTATTTGGACCCTGTGGAATGCTAGAAAAATCCCTGGAGGGGTGTACGATCTCAATAGTAATATGGCTTTAAAATGACCATACTGATGGTTAACAAAGGTCGTCAAAGTTAATTTTTATTTTCTTTCAAATCGAAGGTCCGTCGTGCCTAGCTAGTAACCAAAAGAAAGTCCGATTGCAATAGTGGAAGGTCGCGGACCTCGGACCACCGCTAATTTGAACCTCCGAATATTATTTTCAATAGAATTTGACATCGTTCGCCATGTGCTTGTCATTAAAGGGAAGTAACCCTTCCACTTCCGGAACTGGTACCATAGGTAGAATACAACGTTGCGCCTGCCGCTGCGTAAGTCGCGGAGACAGTTATGTTTTCCAAAATATCATGATAAGAGCAGGAGACAAAAACAATCGGTTAAATAAGTCCTTGCAAAAACAAATAATAATAAATAACGGAAAATAACACATTGAAACCAACAGTCACGAAAAATGACTGTCAAAGAAGACCAACAACCAACAATACTTAGTTTCTCTAAACACCAAGGGCCACTGGCCATACACGCTTCAACACATCAACAACCAACGGGATTTTTTGTAATTGCCGTCCGACCCTGGTACATTCTTTTTAATGGAATAGCCCTAAGCAGATCCTGCTCCACATGCGACACCCGTCGTGTTACTCCTATAAAATACGTTGATAAGTATCAAGTGATAAGGCATTACAAAAAAGTGGATCAGTTTTTATACGACGGCAAAAAAAATTTTGTGGTCGTATATTGGTATGACGTTGGCGTCGTCGTAGTCGTCGTCGTCCGAAGACGCATTAGTTTTCGCACTGTAACTTTAGTTTAAGTGAATGGATCTCTGTGAAATTTTACCATAAGGTTCAATACCACAAAAGGAAGGTGGGGATTGATTTTGGGGGTTATGGTATCAACAGTTAAGGAATTAGGGTCCAAAAATAAGCATTTTCTAGTTTCCAGACAATAACTGTGGAACGGTGTATGGATCTCTCTGAAATTATACTACAAGTTTCCATACCACAAAGGGATGGTTAGGATTTGCTTTGGGGGGTTATGGCTCAAACCGTTTAAGAATTAGGGGCAAAAAAGGGGGAAAAACAAGGTTGTCCTGGTTAATGGACAAATACTTTAGTACAAAACATAATTTAAAGCAGTGTAAGGGAGATAAATCAAATACATCATTGAAATTATCTCCCTTACACTGCTTTTAAATTATGTATAAAGTAATGGTTAATGAACAATTAAGATAATTTAAAACAGTGTAAGGGAGGTAATCCAAATACAACGTTTTGGTTACTTCCCTTACACTGCTTTTAAATTATGTTTAAAGAAATGCATATTTATAAAGGAAGACCAGTAAAAATATCTGCAAATGTTGCATCTTTTTTTTTTACAAAAAAATCCATATGAAAGATTTGATACTATATTTTAAATTCTATTATAAAATAGATTAAGTTAGCACTATGGTAAATTTAAATGGGTAATTATGGTTGCAAACTCCATTGGAAATTTGAATTGAGATTATGACCATATCTTGAGGGAAAGAATTTTTTTGGGGAAAAAAGGGGGGGGGGGGGTAAAAAGAAATTGTTGGGGGTCAATTTTTTCTCATTTCAGATTTCAGAAATTAAAAAGAATTATTCTTCAAATATTATTTTTTTTTCAAATTTCAAATATTGAAAAATTTCAAGAAGTAATCTTTAATTGCACAGTATGGCGCATTAGAAAAATCTTTGACCACATTTATTTATTTGTTATGCCGAATCTAACCGTGTATTTAGATTTTTAATTTTGGGTCCAGTTTTCAAATTGGTCTACATTAAGGTCCAAAGGGTCCAAAATTAAACTTTGTTTGATTTTAACAAAAATTGAATATATGGGGTTCTTTGATATGCTGAATCTAAACATGTGTTTAGATTTTTGATTATGGGCCCAGTTTTCAAGTTTGTCCAAGTTAGGGTCCAAAATTAAACTTTGTTTGATTTCAACAAAAATTGAATATATGGGGTTCTTTGATATGCTGAATCTAACCATGTATTTAGATTTTTTATTTGTGGACCCCACTATCAAGTGGTTCATATTGAGGTCAAAAGGGTCCAAAATTAAACTTTGTTTGATTTCATCAAAAATTGAATTATTGGGGTTCTTTGATATGCCAAATCTAACCGTGTATTTAGATTTTTAATTTTGGGTCCCGTTTTTTAAATTGGTCTACATTAAGGTCCAAAGGGTCCAAAATTAAACTTAGTTTGATTTTAACAAAAATTGAATGTTTTGGGTTCTTTGATATGCTGAATCTTAACATGTGTTTAGATTTTTGATTATGGGCCCATTTTTCAAGTTTGTCCAAGTTGGGGTCCAAAATTAAACTTTGTTTGATTTCAACAAAAATTGAATATATGGAGTTCTTTGATATGCTGAATCTAAACATGTATTTAGATTTTAGATTTTTGGCCCAGTTTTCAAGTTGGTCCAAATTGGGGTCCAAAATTAAATTTTGTTTGAATTCAACAAAAATTGAATATATGGGTTTCTTTGATATGCTGAATCTAACCATGTATTTAGATTTTTTATTTGTGGGCCCGCTATCAAATTGGTTCATATTGAGGTCAAAAGGGTCCAAAATTAAACTTTGTTTGATTTCATCAAAAATTGAATTATTGGGGTTCTTTGATATGCCAAATCTAACCGTGTTTGTAGATTTTTAATTTTGGGTCCCGTTTTTTAAATTGGTCTACATTAAGGTCCAAAGGGTCCAAAATTAAACTTAGTTTGATTTTAACAAAAATTGAATTCTTGGGGTACTTTGATATGCTGAATCTAAACATGTGTTTAGATTTTTGATTATGGGCCCATTTTTCAAGTTTGTCCAAGTTGGGGTCCAAAATTAAACTTTGTTTGAAATCAACAAAAATTGAATATATGGGGTTCTTTGATATGCTGAATCTAAACATGTATTTAGATTTTAGATTTTTGGCCCAGTTTTCAAGTTGGTCCAAATTGGGGTCCAAAATTAAATTTTGTTTGATTTCAACAAAAATTGAATATATGGGGTTCTTTGATATGCTGAATCTTACCATGTATTTAGATTTTTTATTTGTGGGCCCGCTATCAAATTGGTTCATATTGAGGTCAAAAGGGTCCAAAATTAAACTTTGTTTGATTTCATCAAAAATTGAATTATTGGGGTTCTTTGATATGCCAAATCTAACCGTGTTTTTAGATTTTTAATTTTGGGTCCCGTTTTTTAAATTGGTCTACATTAAGGTCCAAAGGGTCCAAAATTAAACTTGGTTTGATTTTAACAAAAATTGAATTCTTGGGATACTTTGATATGCTGAATCTAAACATGTGTTTAGATTTTTGATTATGGGACCAGTTTTCAAGTTTGTCCAAGTTGGGGTCCAAAATTAAACTTTGTTTGATTTCAACAAAAATTGAATATATGGGGTTCTTTGATATGCTGAATCTAACCATGTATTATGATTTTGGACATTGGACCATAATAGGTAAATTAAAAAAATTGAAGTTCTTAGACCACATTCTTTCTGTGTCAGAAACCTATGCTGTGTCAAATATTTAATCACAATCCAAATTCAGAGCTGTATCAAGCTTGAATGTTGTGTCCATACTTGCCCCAACTGTTCAGGGTTCGACCTCTGCGGTCGTATCAAGCTGTGCCCAGCGAAGCATTTTATTTACTCTTATCTAACCCTAAGACATCACCAAATTGATAAACCTTTTTTATCACCAGAAGAAAAATAGAATGATGTTTTTTATTAATTTTTTTTCATTTTGAAGTAATGAGGTAGAATGGTAGCTGTCATTTAGAACACAGTTCTTGTTATAGTAAATGTAATTAAAAGAATTATTTTTATTTTCCAGAAATTGATAGAGAAGTTGGAAAAGAATAAGGTGTTGTCAGCTACGGACAAGGATAAAATAAAAGAGGTAAAATTCATACATATATATTGCTTTATAACATAAAATACAACAAGATTTGTCAGTCTGACTTGTGCAACACTTCCTCAATATAATGCCTATAAATTTTCTGTATCATATATGTTTCATACATTTAGCCCTTTATAACGTTAATTAACAAGATAGAAGCTCAATTTTGAGGATTGGTTCTGATGAAGAAAGCTATCAAGGTGGCATCATAAAATGCCCTGGAAACAGTTATAGCTGTTGTATATATCCTACGATCACAATTACTTATCAATAACTTTTCCTGTATAGCGTTTTGTCATATTTGAAAAGTAGCACCATTGATGATTTGAGTATCTGTTGTGAATGCAATATCCAGCCTTAATCCTCAAATGTACACATTCTGTAGAAAACACATTCGAGAAAAGATAAATCTAGAAACCTTCTAAAATCACAATTCTCTTACTATTTTGCACTAACTAATGTAAAAGCAAAAAGAAACATCAAAAGAAATACTGGGATCTTTATTATTGGACATTGAACTTAAAAAAAAATAGTTTTTTTCTTGGGCCTTATATGGAGATCAGTAGGTACTTGATAATTAAAACTTAATTAATGTGGTTACTCAAAGTCTGTCTTGAGAAATAAAGAATATATTTTAGATTAAATTATGTACAGTTTTGTATAATGAAAGTTGTCTTCAGACACCTTTAATTTCTTGAACAATAATTGGTAGAGTGCATGCCTCAAATGATATAGATAGTAAAAAATAAATAGCACTGTTTATAAGCTTAATTCGTGTAATTTGGTTAAGTTCTAAACTTTGGGTCTCCATTGAAAAAGGTTATTACGGAAACTTGTGTAATACAGGTATAGTTATGAATTCTGTCAGACAGGTATAGTGATTAATTCAGAAATTTTGTTGTACACTGTAAATGAAAACTTATTTCACATGTGAAATGAATCTTGTTTTTATGCCCCCGCCGTAGCAGAGGGGGCATTAAGTTTACCCTTGTCCGTCTGTACGTCTGTACGTACGTACGTACGTACGTACGTCCCAAAATTGGTTTCCGTTCTCTAACTTGAGTTTGCCTAAACCAAATGTTATGAAACTTATACACAATGCTTATTACCACAATATACAGATCAAGTTTGAATTTTGGTGGCATCACTTTTATTGTTCTAGAGTAATGCTCTTTTAATAATGGAAAAATTCCAAAATTTTAGTTTCCGTTCTCTAACTAAAGTTTGCCTCAACCAAATGTTATGAAACTTATACACAATGCTTATTACCACATAATACAGATCAAATTTGAATTTTGGTAGCGTCACTGTAACCGTTTTAGAGTTATGCCCCTTTATAAATGAAAAAATTACAAAATTTTTAGTTTTCGCTCTCTAACTTAAGTTGCCTCAACCAAATGTTATGAAACTTATACACAATGCTCATTACCACAAAACACAGATCAAGTTGAATTTTGGTGGCGTCACTTTAACCATTATCGAGTTATGCCCCTTTATAAATCGGAAAATTGCAAAATTTTTAGTTTCCGTTCTGTAACTTAAGTTTGCCTCAACCAAACATTATGAAACCTATACACAATACTTTTACCACAAAACTCAGATCTAGTACAAATTTGGGTATCGTCACTTTTATTGTTTTTGAGTTATGTCCCTTTATAATGTTGTATGCAAGCGGGGGCATCATCTGTGTCCATGGGGACACATTTTCCATTTTTTCTGTTATATAACAATAGTTGTCAAGCAATCAACGAAGTTGCATGAAAATAAAGTGTGAGAATATGTAGGAAAAGATCCTTGCATTTCTGCTTTACAAATGTCGGTGTAATAAAATGAAAAGCTAATCAGAGAATTCTTGGAATAGTTAATCTATAATTATTTGTTTGAATTCTAGAAAACCTCTTTTTGAATTCTTGCTTTCTCTTTCAGACTTTAAAGATACTCACAGGTAGTATAGAGAGGCTAACCAAAGAAGTGGTACCTGTCATCCAGAAATCTACACCACCTAGCACACCCGAGTTACCTGTTATTACATCACCAGAACAGGTTTGTTTCTCATAAGATCATTAACAAATTTGCTTCCTTTAATGTATGGTTGTCTTTGTTTGTGTCAATAGACACTCTGTATATTTACTGTCACTTCAGATATTACAGACAAATCCATGTTCAAACTTTTACAAAATGGTTTGAAATAGTAGATACAGAATTTTCTTGGTTTAGGAATCTTGATGGGCTCCCACATTCATGAAAATAATGAAGAAAAAAAAGGCTTTATATGTAAAAAAATCACAAATAACAGTTTAATCTTCTCGTTTATTTAAATGACTTGGTAAATGTGTGTGACATGAATTCCTTTCTTTTTCCAGGCAAAGAAGGAGATTCTTGACACAGAATTAGAATTGTTTAACAAGCAGCAAAGTGGTGAAGACACAATAATACTCAGGAAAAAACTTAATGAACTTACTAAACAGGTAACAAAAATTACATGCAGAATGCCCATAGCATAAATTGAAATGAAATTAAACAAATCCAATTTATGTGGAGTATAGTTGTTCCAGTTTGCAATAATGATCTTTTTATTTTATGTCTGACAGTGAAACAGGAAACCGACAACACAATAGATAGGTTTCGATTGACACTTTTTAAGGAAGAGTAACTTCCTTTTTGTCGCCATGTTGGAGGTTAAAGGAATAACACCACTAATTCATAGCCTCCTTACTTTCAATGTTAAATTCTTCAACTTCAAGCATTCATAGCGATTTTGTCTTAAGTTTAAATAAAGTGGTAGTCATTTCATGTCAAAACTATACCTTATCCTGAAATGTGCTCAAACAATCAGCATACCTTTAATTGCATATTAGAGCACACTGGTTCCCGAAAGTTAGGTAGTACAAAAACAGGTACATCTGATTTGAGCAACAGGGTAAATATGCCCTCTCATCTTAATTTCATATTTTTTTTATTATTCAAAAGAACTGTTAACAAGGGTTCTACAGTGATCCCAAGTCCTTAAGCTTCCATTTGATACCAAAATTACCCAAATATTTTACTTATTGACAACATTACAGCTATTCGTAGGAACTATTATGTTTAAAAAATATGTACTACTTTCTTGTATGTTCTTTCTGACTGGGCCGAATTAGTGGTTCTATACCTTAAGTGCACAAATTTATTCAAAAATCAGCCTAATTCAACTTGTTATAATGACCGCTAGACTTTAGAAAAAGTTATTTTCTGAACAATTTAAATTTCTTTTAGTCTTGTTTAATTCATCACTATGATCCAGTTAGGATCTTTTATCTGACCAGTTTGTATGGCATGTTTCAATTTGGTTAGTCAAATAAGAAAATCAACCATTTACGCCTCCAAAATGAAGGCCAAGGAAAATAACACAAACTGAAATTACATCATATCGAAATATACCAACAAAGCAAACAGTGGATATTGTATTTTTTGTTGCTTTATTGATTTTTACCTGTCATCTCCATTTAATCATATCAATAAATGATTTTCAAGATTAGATACATACACTAATATCATGTGATTTTTCATTAAAATTGGAAAATCATTGTGTGGCTACAAACAAGATTTCTTAATATAAAAAAATCACAATCAAAAAGCTACTGTTACAGTAAGAATTAAATGTTTTGATAGTAATTTGTTAGTCCAGTGGACTCCCTAAATAATTACATAATCCTGTAATTCGTACATTTATTATAGTAAAACAAAACATGTATCTTTACTTTGTAAACAATTCTTGCATAGGTTAAAACAGATTTTCATGTTAACTGCAAAAAAACCTACATATTATAAACATAGTAATATTCTTACTTAGTAATTAAGAAATAAAGATATCATAATTTGAAAAAAAATATTGTGTAACCTATATCATGTCCTCACATAGCTTTTATTGCCATTAAGGATGATTCATTAGTGTCTCGAGTGTCTTTCCTTAACAAGATACTTTCAAGAAAGGGAGGGATGTCTTTATTTTTCCTGTTGTCTAAATTTCTGTTAGTTACATCATTTTCTTTTCTGTTTAGGCTATTCATTCACCAGGACTTTTGATAAGGTCTTTGATGTTTGTTATGTGAAATAATTTGCACAAACTGAAATGTGCAGTAGTGCTTCGGTTAGTTATTTTTTGCAGATAAGAAGGAAATAAAGGAATTTTAGGAATCTGTCAAATATTTAGTAGTTGGTATTTTATGCAATTTTATTTTGCTAGCAAAGTGAAACTGATAATCTTAGCAACACAAAATGTCTTAAGTATAAAGGTTAAGTTTTTTGCTGTGCTTGATCAGAAGGCTTTGTCCTTGCACAATACCAGTTGCAAAAAAAGTTTTACCCAATTGCAGTGTAAATTCACCTTTACAAACTGATCAACTGGTAAAATATTTTAGCTCATTTTTTCAGTGAAAGGTTGTTAGTATGAATGGAGTGCAGTAAAATAAAAATAATGATAACCATCTTAATCCAGTTATTTATTGTCTGTTTAATTGTATTAAGTGTAAAACATGACATTTTCTAGAAAGGTAGGGAGGTTTAGCAGGTAGAGTTAAATAGTTATTTTCTTATTTTCTGATGAAATGTTCTTAAAAAGATTGTTTGATAGATACACATTTAACAAATTTTTTTTTTGTACAGGCTACAGCTATGGGTCTGATAGGTCGAGGCAGAGGTCGCGGAGCCATCAGAGGTGGTAGAGGTCGAGGTTTCATCCCAAACCGTGGTGCTATGACATGGGTAGCTGGAGGTGCTGCACGAGGAACAAGTCCATTCTCTCTTGGTCGAGGTGCTAGTCAATTCCCAGCAGTTAACAACAGTAGGTCGTTAGACAACAGACCTAAACAGTTTGAAGTGATCGGCTTCAAAGCTGAACAGAAAGATCAGTTGGAGACTCATTTTAAGGTAAATTGCTGTCCTTTGCAGAGGTTGAAAATTGTGAACATTTGACTATGACCTTTAGATTTTTTGAAGGACTTTTTAGGATTTAACATTGAAAGTCTTGTATATATATTTGATTGCTTTAAGAATAACATTAAATGGTACCAATTTTACTTCACCAGAGACAAAAAATGTCTCTTCAGTGATGCTCAAGGCCAAAATATAACAATGTAAGGCCTATGCAGGTCTATTCTGAAATGTTGACAGATGTATAGAGGTCCTTTATCTGGTTGACTTTAACCAATGTCAGGATCAGGTATGCACCATAATCCAGTTTTCTTTCACTTAGCATGAAGTGTAATATACAACCAGTATTAAAAGCTCTGTCCTTTTGACTTTGAATTATTTCCCTGATCTGATTGATTTGTGATACTGAAATAGTCAGAATAAGTGAGTGTATCATGTGGTTTATAGGGCACAGATCTAAATTTGTCTCTAAAAAATTATGTTATTTAATTATTAGAAATTACCATCAATCTACAAAGTCTAAACCTACTTGTTATTTCAGCAATATGGAATGGTAGAAAGAATTGACTTTGATGATGTAGATAACAGTGCAATAGTCTCCTTTAAAACAAGACAAGATGCAGAACATGTAAGTTATTGTCAAGGTTTGAGTTGATGGGAGATCTTTGATAATAATAGTCTGAGTGGTCGAAGCCGTTCATCTTAAGTGAGCACTAGCCTGTGTGAGTTAGAATCCGTAAGAGGCAGGTGCGTCAACTCGGAACTTAATTGACTAGCATATCCTGTTTTCCAGCTGAAATGGTGGTTCTCTGGGTACTCCAGCTGCCTCCTCCAATAAAAATTGCCCATCATGATGTAATATAGCCAAAAGTGCTTTAAGTGGTGTAAAACACCAACAATCAATCAATCAACCCCGTCTATGGTAGATTAAGGAAGTTCGCTACTCCATTTCAAAATAACAAGCTTTTCATAGCACTAGTATATATTGATAGGGGATTAATAAAGGACCAAAAGAGCGGGAATAAAAATATAGGTCCGTGTGCTTGTTTTCGAGGTATTAGCCATTGAAATTTTGGCGGGGAAATGTTCTCTCTTGATTTTTCATAGCTTTATCATTGAAAAGTTTTAGTTCTCAAAAACTATTAAAAAGTAACAAAGATTTTATAAGACTTTTACAGATGGCTTATAATTATACATGTTAAAGATTTATAAAAAGAAAAATGGGGGTTAGTGGGCAAAATTTTTTAAGGCATTCAAATGGATAAAACCAGAGGATTCCGAAAATCTGGCAAAAATTCCAAAACATGACAAGCGAACATCCTTAAGAGCTTTACATACTATATAGATACTTGTCTTTTGTTTAAGACCGTATGAAGGCTTTTAGATTACTGATGAGTTTTTTTATACACCACACTATAATGTATAGATTTTAATGTAGTTTTTGACCTGTTCATACTTCCATTATTCTGGTCGTCATCTTGGTTTCCAGATGATAAATCAAATACTTTATATATTGTCACACTTAATGAGAGTATTAAAATACTTATCGATTTTGAGGTCAATAGATTAAGATATCATTTACTAGAAATAATTGCAAAAAAGCGGTTTCCCCAATTAACCAAACATGACTATATTTTAAGCTTTGTAGGACCACTTTTTATGATACCACTATGAAAGCTGTAGCTTGCTAAAATAAGTTTACGGCATAGGGTTTTGTGAGGTTCTTTAATTTTGTGTTGTTATATTGCTGTCTCAGAAAGATATACCGGACATCTCCTTTCTTAGGAGTAAATTGACGTAACAGACATTTTTGGGGAAATTTTAAGACAACTATGAAGATTTTGAACTTTTTTAAGAATTCATATGTATTAAAGAAAGAATAAATTGCATATGAAAAGGTTAATATAAAAAGTTATCTTTAATTAATTTATATTGAATGGCATCTCAGTCAATATAGTAATACTATTACAGGAAATATAACAATTTTGTGTTTTTAATTTTTTAGGCAGTTCTACGTGGTGCTAAGTTACAAGACAGTGTATTGACAATGAAATGGCATACAGGAGTTAAAATTAACATTCGCCTCAATGTTAGCAGTGATGATAGTTTTACAGGGGAACATCACGACACTACAGATGAGGTAAAATTTTAGAATTGATCATAAGTAAAAATTATGTTAGCATGATTAACAATAGTCATGAATGAAAGTACAAACAATAGTATCAATACTGGAGGGTAACATCTTCTCTGTATTTACCTTCATCAGGAACACTCAAAAGCCAAGGATGTATAAGTACTGAACTACATGAAGCTCTATTTGACCAAACAGGATCTCAAAGCTGAGAGCCAAATATATCTCAAGGTCAACTTTACCTCAGGGTCACAACTTTTACAACCCTTTTACATTACAAAAAGAAGAAGCAATAAATTATAATTATTACCTTTAAAGCTTCAAGTTTGATTTTCATGATGACTAAACATGTGCAAATCTTTCTGTAGGTATTATGGTGAAAATAATTACCAGCTGATCAAACATGCAAATAGGTTCATGGAATTCATAATAAAACAAACTGCCATGAAGTTAGATCCATTTATTTAATTTTCATGTTTTGTGTTGACAGGGAACAGAAGAGATTGATGAAGAGGCATTGCTAGCTGACGAAGAGGATCTGTTAAGGGTCGAGGATGAAGAAGAAGAGGATGAAGAAAGTAGGTCATGGAGAAGATGATCAAGGTCAAAGTGTAGACGAACTGAGGAAGACAGTCAAAGAGGATTTTTATGTTCTGCTGTTCTCAACAACTAATGAAAAAGAGAGTTGAAAAATACATTTAGTTGAGAATTCAAAGTGGTTGAAATAAAATAAATGTGATATGCATGTCATTTATCAGATGTGATATTGAAAAGGACTGTTTAAAGTTCATTTTTGGAGTTTTAATAGTTAAACTTTTAAAAATGTTTCCCAAAAATAGAAATAAAAGTTTGATTATAAAGTATTGATAGCAACAATTATGGTTAATATTGAAAACATGTTGATATTAGGTAAATATAATAGAACATTGTTTCAGACCTAAAATGTAGGTTTCAAAACTTCTCTTTTGAGAAACAGTAGCTGATAACTTTCTACTAGTCAGTTGTGTCATTTAATTAGTTTGCTAGTTGATAGTTTGAAAAGCAACTTAAATATGTCAAAAATTGATTTGCTACAGTCTTACAGCAGAAATGCTGAATATTTACAATTAAGCCAAAGTGCTTTGTGATTTTAAGTCAGTATGTAAGTAGATGGATGTGGTAGAACATATGGATATGTAATACTTTATTGTGTTCATTTTGCAAAATAAATATATTTGGTGCACTGTCTGTTACTGTGTGAAATGTGTAGAGTGAATTGAGTAGGAAGGAGGAGGTGTGATAAATTTTTTTTCGAGGGGGGTTTGGGGGAGTGGGGGGGGGGGTATCATCACAGAAACTCAATATTTATATGGTACAGTTTTCTTTATAGTTCTGTCTTTAGTTCCTTGTTGTTCCTGTTCATCTAAGTTGTCACCTTTCCATCTTTATCAGTCTTTTGATTATATATGTTAAGAGAGGAAGATAAACTTTACCCTTATTGTTATAATGAAACCATATATAATTTGGTCAATTGAAGGTATTTTTGTTACTTGTTATCCATTATGCCTTCTCTTTTTTCTCATTCCAAAATCAAATATTTTATTCTGTGATGTAATGATTGCTGTTTTTGTGTGTTAATTTATATATTCAATTGTTGGGTGAGATATTATAACTGCTTTTGTCAAAGAAAAGAGTCAAAAGTGGAAATGAGTAAAAATTTGAAATGCAATAGAACATGTTGTATGTAGATGAAACTGTGGTGAGAGTTGTGCAAGTTGTTTTGTTAATGTCTGTTTTTATGAGAAGAATGCTGAAATATTAAATTGGTATAAAATATGAATGCTTGCCATATTTGTGACAAATTGTAAATATAGAATTGATAAAATGATGGGAAAGCAAGTAATTATTTTTATTATCTTTATGCCTATGATATCCACAGCTGATAAGGAGGAAGCTAGCCCCATAAAATTACTCAATATGAAGTTGGTCTTATTTTCAAAATTAAAACAAATTGAGTCTGTATCACCAAATGATATAGATGTCAGTTATTAGATGCCTTCAACAATGAGCAAAGCCCAGACCGCATAGCAATCTAAAAAAAAAGGTCCAGAAATGACAAAATGTAAAACACCTGATACGAGGAAACAAATGTGATATATGTTGATCAATGTGCATAGTTACATCCAGGTATTCGTCACTAGCATGATAGTCAAACCTGTATTAAACAGTCACTCATGGGTAGTATCAAAAGTGACCACTTAAGAGAGGTAACCTTTTAAAAGATCCAGAGGTATAAAAATTCTGATTCCGATATGGCTCATGGCAGGGATGGCAGCAAATTGTATATAAACTGTTTTCAATCAGTAAAGTAATTGTTCTTGCGAGCATTGAAATGAAAATAGTAATTCAAGCCTTGTAAAATTGAAGAAAACATTTGAAAAATGTTAATATTCATAGAGGTATGAGTCTACGAGTTGTTTTTGTACTCATATTAAGCTGAATTCATACAGAATCTCAAAGGCAAAAAGAAATATCATATGGCAAAATTTTTATGCCCCCCGCCGTGGCGGAGGGGGCATTAAGTTTTACCCTTGTCCGTCTGTACGTCCGTCCGTCCGTCCGTCTGTCCATCTGTCCGTACGTTCCAAAGTTGGTTTCCGTTCTCTAACTTAAGTTTACCTCAACTAAATGTTATGAAACTTATACACAATGCTTATTACCACTAAATACAGATCAAGGTTGAATTTTGGTGGTGTCACTTTTACCGTTCTAGAGTTATGCTCCTTTACAAATGGAAAAATTGCTAAATTTTTCGTTTCCGTTCTCTAACTTAAGTTTGCCTCAACCAAATGTTATGAAACTTAAACAATGCTTATTACCACAATATACAGATCAAGTTTGAATTTTGGTGCCGTCACTTTTACTGTTCTAGAGTTATGCCCTTTACAAATGGAAAAATTGTTAATTTTTTTTTTTTTTTCTAAATATCAAGTCATTTTTAAAATTGGAGTTATCTTCCTTTGTCCATGATTATAGTTGAATCAACTACAATCAATGCTTTATACAATGCAATGTTTAATTTTGCCTTCCACTGATAAATTAAAGCAATTTTTACCCTTCATTTCTAAAAATATTTTAAAGTCTTCTTTGAAAATTGGAGTTATCTTTCTTTGTGCATAATGGTAGTTGAATCAACTACAACCAATGCTTTATACAATGCAATAATCAATTTTACTTCCTACTGATAAATTAAAGTAATCTTTACCATTCAGTGCTTACAAGCACTTTGATTACCGTTCTAGGGTCATGCCCCTTTACAAATGAAAAAATTGCTGAATTTTTCGATTCCTTTCTCTAACTTGAGTTTGTCTTAACTAAATGTAATTTCTTAATATATCAATGTCATTATTCAAGTAATTTTTAGAATTGGAGTTTTCTTCCTTTGTCATGATTATAGTTGAATCAACTACAATCAATGCTTTATACAATGCAATGTTTAAATTTGCCTTCCACTGATAAAACACAGATCAAGTAGAATTTGGGTAGTGTCACTTTAACCATTATTGAGTTATGCCCCTTTTTAAATCAAAGATTGCAAAATTTTTAGTTTCCATTCTGTAACTTATGTTTGCCCCAACCAAATATTATGAAACCTATACACAATATTCATTACCTCAAAACTAAGATAATGTACAATTTTTTTGTTTCCTTCTCTAACTTTAGTTTGCCTCAACCAAATGTTATGAAACTTATACACAATGCTTTTTACTACATAATACAGATTAAGTACGAAATTTGGTGGCGTCACTTTTACCATTCTTGAGTTATGTCCCTTTAAAAACATATAAATTGCAGAATTTTTTGTGTCTGTTCTCTAACTTTAGTTTGTCTCAACCAAATGTTATAAAACTTATACACAACCGTTCTAGAGTTATGCGTATTTACAAATAGAAAAATTGCTGATTTTTTAGTTTCTGTTCTCTAAAGTTAGCCTCAACCAAATGTTATGAGACTTACACACAATGCTTATTACCACAAAACTCAGATCAAGTTCAAATTTGGGTAGCGTCACTTTTACAGTTCTTCAGTTATGTCCCTTTATAACTATATGATATGCAAGCGGGGGCATCATCTGTGTCCACATGTGGACACAATCCACATTTAATTTCAATTTCAGACATATTGATATTTTGTCACTAAATAACCACCATTTTAATCAGTTGCTTACATCTCATATATTCTAGTGAACATGAATATGATTAATGATTGAGAAATGTGTTTATCTAATAATCATAATTATTCAATTTGATAAGAATGATAAAAGTTTTAGGGACACATGCATATGTGGGTCAGAGATGAACATGAATATGTTCCACCAATTGTTGCCACACATAATTTGAATTATCACTGGATTATAATTGCCACGAACAACGTGACAGATGACAATAGTGGAAAATTTCAGAGCCTTCTGAGAAACCGGAGTAACTCCATTTGATTGGTCGTGTTCATGTTTCTGAATTTTTAGTTCTTTTTGCAGAGTTTTATGAATTGTTGTTTGTCTGTTTTTTCTGAATATGTACCACATATCTTCTATTAGCTTTTAGCGAGGAAACATCAGCAGTTGATATATATGTTGAATATTATGTGTAGTTCTTACTTTAAGATTGATTGGTCATTAGCACTTTCATCACTTTTGTGCCATTTAGTGGCAGTCAGTTTTTATTGGTGGTGGTATCCGTACTGCCCAGATAGAACCACGGACTATCGGTAGGAAACCTGACATTCCTAGTCAATAAAGGTTGTTAGTCGAGTGAACTTGAAACCTCAGTATTGACAGGCTAGTGATACAGAAGTTGGACTGCTTTTTTAGCCCTCCGGGGTCCGAAGGGCCCCATGTGAGCTTATGCCATCACTTGGCGTCCGTCGTCGTCGTCTGTTGTCGTCTGTCGTCGTCTGTCGTCGTAAACTATTTCAAAAATCTTCTCCTCTGAAACTACTGTGCCAAATACCTTCAAACTTTAACTAAATGCTCCTTAGGGTATCTAGTTTATAAATTGTATCCAAAGTTTTGATCCATCGACAAACATGGCCACCATGGCTAAAAATAGAATATAGGGGTCAAATGCAGTTTTTTGCTTATATCTCAAAAACTAAAGCTTTTAGAGCAAATCTGACATTGGGTTTAATTGTTCAATTGGTCAAGATCTATCAGCCCTGAAATTTTTAGACGAACCGAACAACTCATTGTTGGGTTGCTGTCACTAAATTGGTAGTTTTAAGGAAATTTTGCAGGTTTTATACGACTGCAAAAATTTTTTTTGGATCGTATAATGGTATGATGTTGTCGTCGTCTGCGTCGTCGTCCGAAGACATATTGGTTTCCGGACAATAACTTTAGTTTAAGTGAATGGATCTCTATGAAATTTTTTAAGAAAGTTCAATACCACAAAAGGAAGGTTAAGATTGATTTTGGGGATGATGGTCCTAACCGTTTAGGAATTAGGGGCCCAAAAAGGGGCCCAAAACAAGCATTTTTCTAGTTTCCGGATAATAACTTGTGTATAAGTATTTCTATTGCTCTGAAATTGTACAACAATGTTTAATACCACAAGTAGAAGGTTTGGATTCATTTTAGGGGTTATGGGGCCAACAGTTTAGGAATTAAGGGCCAAAAACAGGCATTTTTCTAGTTTCCAGACAATAACTAGTGTGTAAGTGTATGGATCTCTCTGACATTGTACCACAAGGTTCCATATAACAAAGGGAAGGCTGGGATTGAGTTTGGGGTTAATTGCCCAAATTATGTAGGAATGAGGGGCCAAAAAAGGGCAGAAAACAAGCATTTTTCTAGTTTCCAGACAATAACTTGTGTGTAAGTGTATGGATCTCTCTGAAATTGTACTACAAGGTTCAATACTTCAAAGGAAAGGCTGGGATCGAGTTTTGGGGTTATTGCTCCAAGGGGGGTTGCAAAAAGTTGGGGGGGGGGGGGGGGGAATTTTTTCCAAATTTTTTTAAGGGATTCAAATTTTTTTTTCAAACTTTTTCAAATTTCGAACTTTTGAAAAGTATCAAGAAGAAATCTTCAATTGCACAGTATTGGGCAATGGATTTATAAGATCTTTGACCACATTTATTTTGTGTCAGAAACCTATTTAATGTCAAAAATTTAATCACAATCCAAATTCAGACAGTATCAAGCTTGAATATTGTGTCCAAATTTGCCACAACTGTTCAGGGTTCGACCTCTGCGGTGGTATCAGGCTGCGCTCAGCGAAGCATTTTATTTGTTATTATCTTGAATATTATTATAGATAGATATAAACTGTAAACAGCAATAATGTTCAGCAAAGTAAGATCTACAAAAAAGTTTATATGACCAAAATTGTCAATTGATCCCTTAAGGAGTTATTGCCCTTTAAAGACAATTTTACACAATTTGTTCATCAAGTTTGCTAACATTTAAAAATCTTCTCCTCTGAAACTACTGGGCCAAATACCTTCAAACTTCATCATCTAAATGTTCCTTAGGATATTTAGTTTATAAATTGTATCCGAAGTTTTAATCCATCGACAAACATGGCCGCCATGGCTAAAAATAGAACATAGGGGTCAAATGCAGTTTTTGGCTTATATCTCCAAAACTAAAGCTTTTAGAGCAAATCTGACATGGGTATAATTGTTCAATTGGTCAAGATCTATCAGCCCTGAAATTTTCAGAGAAATCAAACAACCCATTGTTGGGTTGCTGCCACTAAATTGGTAGGTTTGAGGAAATTTTGCAGTTTTTTGTTATTATCTTGAATATTATTATAGATAGATATAAACTGTAAACAGCAATAATGTTCAGCAAAGTAAGATCTACAGAAAAAGTAAATGAACAAATTTGTCAATTGACC